CGCGCACGCGCACACGGCGCCTCCTCCGGCTGCCCAGGCAGGACAGACGCGGGGCGGCCGCGCCGCTGGTGAGCAGGTGAGTGCACGGTGACACCGCAGGGGGGTGAGCACTTAGTGACCCACACAGGACACACCACGGGGTAGGTGACACGCCAGTGACTGACACGCCAGCGGCACACCGCGGGGGGACGAGCCGTTTGGTGACGCACTGGGACGCATCCGTGGATGAGCACGTTCGTGACACGCGGGTAGATGTGTTCTCAGAGCCCCCGGGTCCCAGCTGTTCCTCTGATAGCGAGGTCAAAGGGCGAAGGTTGGACTTCGCCCCCGCCTCCTGTTTTACAGCGGGTCACTGGACTCCGACCCATTGCAAATTGAGACCCCGGTGCTGTCCTCTCTACGCGAGCCCAATCACTGGCGCTGCAGGTAACAAGTACCTCCTGCTTCCTCAGCCTCTCCTGGGTGCGGCCTCCCCTGAGCCTAGCACGGAGCAGGCGCGTGGAGACCAGGCATGTGGAGGCAGGCTTGTGGAGGCCCAGGCTCAGAGGCTCAGGCTGACCGATCCCTTCTCCCCAGGGCTTCTGTGGCCAGACCCCAGGCCAGTGACCCCACCCATGACCTCTGCTCCCCAGCCACAGGGTGGAGATCACCACTTAGGGGTTAATACAGAAAGAGTTTTACATCAAGCCATCAGGTGACCTAGATGGCTGGATTCCCTTCATTCTCAAGCCCTGTACAGAACAGCCACGAATCGGGGAAGACTAGCAGGATCGTTCCGTGTATTCTGTTCTGTGTGTGCATGTGCGTGTGTGTTTACCAGTCCTAGGGCTTGAACTCTGGGCCTGGGCGCTGTCCCTCAGCTCTTCAGCTCAAGGCGAGTACCCTACAGCTTGAGTCACAGCACCACTTCCGGCTTTTTCTGCGCATGTGGTGCTGAGGAATCAAATCCAGGTCCTCATTAATGCGAGGCAAGCGCTCTACCACTGAGCCACCTTCCCAGCCCGTCACTTCATGTGCACAGGTCCATGTTTCTCCCTAGCCATGGTCGGTGCTTCCCGGCCGGGGGTGGACGCTGCAGCAGGGCAGCCGGGCAGCTGGAGACGCCGCAGTGCCCCAAGAAGGAGCCCGCTGGCCAGCCGGCCACTCACCTGTTCAGCCGCTCCGTCTCCACCTCGAACTCGCGAATCTTGCTCTCGGAGATGGCGGAGCCGTGCGAGTAGAGGGTCTGGAAGATCTCCTGGATGTTGGAGCAGTCCTGGAGCGAGTGGGCCAGGTGCTCGGCCACGCTGCTGGAGACCTGCAGGGCGGGACGTCCCTGCTGTCAGACCCACGTGGTGCCAGCGCCCCAGTGTGCAGGGAGGGCCCCCCCCCCGCATGGCTGGCACCCTGGCGCTCGGCTCCCTGGCTGGCCCAGCCTCCGTGCACACAGAGAGCTCTACACAAGCACAAAGCCGGCATGCGGAGGGGCCTGCAGGGCTCAGGCTCTGGCTCTATGTGCACACTTAGGCCCAGAGTCTGAACACACGGGATCTGTGCTTGTTGTAAGGTGTTCAGGGTGGCTTTCAGGAGTAGCTACTTGGGAGATTTGGGGGATTGCAATCGGACAGGCAGAAAAGTTCAAAAGACCCAAAGACCCCAGCTCACACAATGGCCAGGCACAGAGGTGCATGTCTACAGTCCCAGCTATGGGGAAAGCACAATGGCTGGGCACCCAGGTGTCCACCTGCCACCTCCAGCAGCACAGGGAAGAAGATGGAAGGCTGGCCCGGGCATAACACCATCACCGACGCCAGAGGGCCCGGGGAGCGGCCCACGTGGCCGCGTGGCCAGTCTCTCCAGCACCACCAAAAACGGAAGGAAGGAACTGGGTCTTCAAAGAGCTTTTCCCGGGAAGGGTGACATCATCCAAAAAGAAGCGTGCTCAGCTCCTGACTCACGCGGCTGTAGCCGCGCTGTGCGTCACCTTGACAATAATAATTAAAAAAAAAAATTGTGCCGGGCACCGGTGGCTCTCGCCTGTCATCCCAGCTACTCAGGAGGCTGAGATCGGAGGATCGTGGTTCAAAGCCAGCCTGGGCAGTAAAAGTCCGTGAGATTCTGATCTCCCATGAACCGCCAGAAAACTGGACATGGCTCTGTGGCTCAAGTGGTAGAGCGCTCCCCCGGAGTTCAAGCCCCACGACCAACCAAAAGAAAATGAAAGACCTTTTCCTGTTGTTAACCTCATCCCCGCCATCAAAGAGCTGGCTCTTCTCCCATGCCTAAAGGAATTGACCCCCCCGCCCCGCTCCCCGTCCAGGCCAGCGTGAGCATCCTCCAGGAGCGACATGCATGGGCCGGCTCTCTGGCAGCTCCCCCGACTCCGGGGTGCAGGTGGAGACCAGACACCGCGGGAATTCCATCCATGCCCCAGTGCCAGGAGCAGACCAAGATCACAGCTTCCCGGATGATTGCCAGAGGAGTGAAGAACAAAGAAGGCGGGAGAGCCGCAGGGCCAGCGCGGCCGTGGAGGCCACCCCCCCGCTGACCCCGGGAAGGGCGCTGTGATTTCTCCCTGCTCGCTGGCGGGCATGTCAGGAGGCCCCTGTCCCCCCACACGGGCACTGTGGCCCGGGAACCTCCCTCCCTGGCCGCCCGCTCGCCGACACTCACCCCGACGCTGCTGATTTCTGAGCCCAGGACCGGCCGATCAGACGATGAGGACTCAGACCTCGTCTTCGACAGCTTCACCCTCTCAGCGATCTTAAGAAACACAGGATGATCAAACGCTGCGGACCCCGCTCCCAGAGCAATGGTTCAGACCACGCTTACCAGAGCCAGGGCCAGCTATGCCAGCTAAACCAATATTTGTTGCTGTTAAAACACACACCACCACCATCAACCACCACCAAAACCTCATTGCCCAGTGTGGTGGCTCATGCCTGTAAAGCTTGCTCCTGGGGAGGCAGAGTTCAGGGGGGGCACAATTCCAAACCGGCCCCAACAGGGAGCCCATGAGAGCCCGTGTCAACGGATACCAAGCTGGGGAGGGGCGGCTACAAGGGGAGTGTTAACAGGAGGATCACAGTCCGGGGTCAGCCAAAGCTCAATGGAACTGAGGGCGTGGTTCATGCAGCAGAGCACCTTCCCAGCCTCACAGGGCTCTGAGTTCAAATTCTAGGACTGCAAAAGAAACCAGCCAACCAAGCCACCACCGAAACCCCCAAACTACATCAGCCTAACCAGCCGTGGGATGCCGAGGGCTGGGCTGAACTCAGAGTGGACAGCCGGCTCACCCAGGGAGGAGGGGGCGCCACAGCCCGCCCCTCCTGAGCCATTTCTTTGGCCCGCAGAGCTGTCAGTCTTGTGAGTGGGGCCGTCACTGGCTCACTACGCAGGGTCCCGCACTGGACTGGGCCTCGGCCCTGGCCAGCCGCTGTCCACACCCGCTGTCGCATGCACCAACATCTCACTCTGCACTTGCGGGGTGGGTGCCACCCTTGGGGGAGGGGGCGTGGCCCCGTCCCGGGGCTCCGCCCCTCACACCGGGCCCCGCCCTCCCCCGGAGCCCACCTTGGCGATGGGGATGTCGTTGCTGCTGCTGCTGGTGCTCAGCTCCCCCGTGCTGGGGTTGACCGGGCGGGCGGCCGCGGTGAGCCGCCCCGGGCTGGAGGGGCCCGTGGCCTGCACGCTCTGGAGACGGGTCTGCAGCTCTCGAACCTGAAACCAGCGTGGTTGACAGGTCAGGGGGCTCATGGGGCCGGGAGGAGGGGAGGCGCGTGGCAGGTGCAGCCTCTGAGCCTCAGTTTACCAGCAGAGCACAGAGTCGGCCCGGGGAAGGAGCACTCAGAGACACTGCACAGCCCACAGCCGATGAGCCCCTGGAAGACGCTGGTGCTGGGGACCGGGCGCCCGGGGGCCAAGGCCACACCCGGGCCACCGCAGCCCCTCCGACAGCCGGCCTGTGCTCACCCCCAGCAGGAGAGCTCCTCCCATTCACCACCCGCCGCCTCTCCACCCTGCTGACTTCCAGACCAAAGTAATTGAACTTTCCATAATTCATCCACCCCGGAAGGGCCGAAGCTTCCCTGGGAGAAAACTGCACTCAGCTGGAAAAGAGCCTCAAGCGGTAGGGGAACTTTCCAGAAACTGTGTGGGTTGATGGAGGGTGTGCAGGGTTCTCCTAAGAGGGGACCCACCCCCCTCCCCACCACGCACTAGAACTCCCCCTGGAAGAGGCGGGATTTCCGTTTGTACAGCAGAAAAAAGGCCTGATCAAGTCCTGAATGATGAACAGCATGAGCCACCCTGGGCCCCAAGCCCGGCCCTGGGTGAGATCAAACCAGGAGTCCAGCGGGGCGGCCGCAGCCGTGCCCCCGGGACTTGCGTGACTCATGTTGTAAGAATGGCTCCCGCCTGTCATCCCAGCTATTCTGGAGGCTGAGATCTGAGGATCATGGTTCAAAGCCAGCCTGGGCAGGGAAGTCTGTGAGACTCAGTGCTGTGGCTCAAGTGGTGCCCAGGCCCAGAGTTCAGGCCCCACGACCACCACCACCACCAAACAGAAAATGTCATCTGAGACCCACCATTGCTTAGGGAACAAACAAACAAACAAGAGCTGGGGGCAGTGGTCAGCCTGTCCTCCGGGCGGCTCAGGAGGCTGAGATCTGCGGATCCTGGTTCAAAGCCAACCCCTCCCTTCCTCAGAACGATTTCAATAGATTTCATTGTTCTTCCACCCTGCTGCCCCTCCCTCCCGGGGAGGCGGGCCCACTGGAAGACACTCCTGTGTCTTCCGACTGCCCCTGGGGTTCTGCCGTGGTCTTTCCCGTGTACAAATATCACGATCAGAACACGCCACCTGCGGCTCGGCCCTTCCCCATCTTCCCAGTGCCCGTGTTCAAGCGCGTGGAGAGATCTGTAGACCGCTCTCCACGCACGGCCCAGAGCTGTGGGGTCCCAGAGCCGGTCGCCCTGCGGGGAGGGCGGCACTGTCTGTTTCTCTCCGGGCTTTCCAGTCTGGAGTGAGCGGGAGAAATCTGTTGTGTGGCCTAATACGTAGTCACACTTCAGACCAGCACCTGCTTCAGCAACCACCTTCCCAGAGCCAGCAGATCCCGACCTGGGGTATCGGCCCTGGAGATCAGGGAGGGGGACTGGGAGGGGGACGGGGAGGGGGGAGGGCTGCGGGGGCGGGGCCTGCGGCTTAGGCCCTGGCTGACTGGGGCGATTCACATCTGCTGACAGAAGCGCGGGGAACACAGGTGACCAGGCAGGTTCCCCAGACACACCCCCAGATCTGAGACCAGAGGCTGTGCGGACGCTGGCTGCCAGCACACTCATTAGGACCTCAGCCCAAAACAATGGATGGAGCTGATAATGTCCAGTGAGACTTGAGACAGGACTGCCGAGGCGTTCACTTTGACATCAGCCCCAAAGGGAGCTGATAAAAAGTGCAAAACCTGTCATTTCTTCCACACGCCTACAGGAGGACTGAACACGATGCAGGCAGAGAGAAAAGAATGACTCACGGCTGCTGGACAGAAAAACTGCACACACGCATGCACGTGTACATACACAGGCACACACACATGTATACACATGCACACATGCACATGCTTATACAGACACACCAACATGCGCATTATGTGCATACATGTGCATACCCACATACACAAACACACTCATGTGTGTCTATACCACACCCAGACATACACTCGAAGAGATCACACACCTGACACAAGCATACATGAAAGTGAGCACCTACTAGAAAGTGCAAGTTTTGTAGGAAAAAATGTTTGATGGAAGCCAGGCGCCAGTGGCTCACGCCTATAATCCCAGCTACTCAGAAGGCTGAGATCTGACAATGTGGTTCAAAGCCAGCCTAGTCAGGAAAGTCCATGAGACTCTTATTTCCAATAAAAATCACTAGAAAACCGGAAGTGACACTGAGGCTCAAGTGGTAGAGCGTGCGCCTTGAGCTGAAGAGCTGAGGGACAGCGCCCAGGCCCAGAGTTCAAGACCCACAACTGACTAAAAAAAAGTTTGATGGACAAGACTATTTTTCAAACATAAAAAATAGAAGCAGGTGTCATAATGACCATCTGAACCGAGTGTGAGGAGGTGTGAGAATGCCACAGGGATGTGGTTTTACCACTTCCAGTTTTCTGGTGGTTTATTGGAGATAAGAATCTCATGGACTTTGCTGCCTGGGCTGGCTTTGAACCGCGATCCTCAGATCTCAGTCTCTTGAGTAGCTAGGACTACAGGCGTGAGCTACTGGTGCCCGGTCAGAAAGTTACTGTTTGAAAGTCTTGTGTCTCCAACTTAGGATTCCTAAACTCCTTCTAAGAATGGCTTCTGGGTGGGAAGAGGCAGGAGGGCCTCAGGGCTGAGAGGCCGTGCGGTCCGGGCGGCCCTGGCTGGGTGCCC